CATGTGTATAGATGTTACTAGAAAGTGCTGATAGCTGTAGAGGAGGAATGAAAAAGAATTACCAAGTAAAAGCAAAAATAACAGAATGTTCATGCCAGTATCATCGGATGATTCCTCTGTTTAAATCTGTACCCATCCCTTCTTGGGGATCTCAAATGTTTGGAATCTGTGTGTACACTTAGATTTTCTGTTGGATTGTACTTTGTTGAAAAGTAAGTAATTGCCCTCAAATTAAGAATTAAGAATTTGCCATAAAAAGACCTTAACCACAAGTCACTGGGTGTGGGTGTGCACTGTGAGTGTTGGTCTTAGGTAAGGGTTCTCAATCTGTGGGTTGCAACCCCTTTGTAACAATGAAAATACATCCTGCAAATCAGATATTTACATTACGATTCATAAGAGTAGCAAAATTACAGTTATGAAGTAACAATGAAAATAGTTTTATGGTTGGGGATCACCACAACATGAGGAACTGTATTAAAGGGTCGCAGCATTAGGAGGCATTAGGAAGGTTGAGAACCACTGGTCTAAGGTGTTCTACAAAAATAAGTGTCCCTGCATGTCATGGAGCCCTGGGAAAGGTATGAATGTTGTTGCTTTGTAAACATTGAGTCTGAGGAGTCTCAGGATAGTTTGTGTTAACTTCAGCATTGTTTATTGATAGCAGGGAGGTGGAGGATTTGCATCTCGTTTCTGTGAGACCCCTATAGGGTTCTGCTGTTGAGGGGTTATATAGCAGAATATATCCAAGGAACCAGCAGAATATAAAAAGCACCAGCCAGGCCTCCACCCCAGAAGCAGCCTGAGTATTACCAGCTGAGTTTAGAAGATTACCCAGAAAGAATATATGGTGTGATACTAGTTGCTTGAATAACCTCTTCATGGTTGCTTTAAGCCCTTTCGTTCTCACATAGGTAAATTACTGAAATTCCAAAATAGGGTGAAGAGCCTATCCTAAACCTCTCTTGTCTTATCTGTGTTCCAAAACATGTAAAATGTATTCGTCATTTTTTTTACAGTCTCCCTGGTTGTGGAATACAAGGCACTGCTGGTACAACTACCCATATCAGGTAAGCGGCAACACTGTCTGGGTTTTTGCACACCAAGCGTCAGTTTCATGGTTTCCAGTGGGTCCCAACAGTCTGGGCAGCCACCTTGTTTTGTGGCCCGCTTTCTGCTGACCGATAATGGCTATGACTTAGTAAGGATAAAGTAATTTCTATGTTCTCAGTAAAGTTCGGAATCAAAGCCCAATTGCTTTAGCAGACGGGGAAACTCAGACGTGGAACTGAAGCAGGCACCTGAGTTAGTTCACTTTATGGCTTAAGAGTAGCCTCTAAATCCATAGATCAAGTACTATTTCCTTAAGCACAGGAAAATGGGTTTGTATCTTTGCATGTGGGTGGCTTATTCCTGCAGCTAAAAGAAGCATCATTGAAAATGAGATTAAAATGATATCCCAGAAAGGGATCATTTATATCTCTGCCCACTGACATTCTTTTACAGCTTTCCATGAATTCAACAATATTATCATGTATCATTATACTCTCCAGATCAGTTCATATTTGCATAGCAAAGCTATGACTTTTCTAGAAATTTCTATAATTATATAGAAGTTATATGTTATATAATAGAAGCAAATGCAGCTAGTTATTTTGGTGACAAAGAGACATGCGTTATTGAATTTTTGAGTTTGACAGGAGTTCTTTGGGGTTGTCTTTTTGGAGCCATCAGGTCTTTTTTGGTTGATGTCCTATCTCCTCTGTTGCACATGGTGTCACAGTAGGGGTTGTGAGGACTGGCACTGGATACTCTGGGTAGGTCCAAGGCAAAAGACACACTGAGATGGAAGTCCAGTTTGCATTTCCATCTCTTTCAAGTAGTTTATTCAGATTAGAAAAGAAATATAAATGAGCAATAGAACATGGTGGGAGGGACCTGAGCATTCAGGGGATATCTGACAGCGACTGAAGCAGTATTGAAACCAATCACTTACTTTATACGACTGCAGTTCTCAGGCCAATTGCTGTTTCACTATCTTACGTACTTGGATCATTGTCATTTAAGGATCTCGTGGTATCCTGTAATGGCTAAATCCATGTACATCTAAATTTCTATTTATAAAAGTACATTAAAGGCTTCTAGAAATCTGATCTGGAATGTTGGCATGGCAGCTGCTGTAATGCACTGCCATTTATGAGGTAAATTCTGTCACATGAACGATTTTGAGACAGATGCCTTATGAAATGTAATACCTGCTCTTCTTTGTAATGATGTGGTCCAAAATAACTTTCATGATCATGGCTGGAGCTGAGAAATTGCTTATTTCTGAGAATATGAGTTGCCAACGCTATGGCCTAGGGTAGCTGCAGACTGTTTCATAGAGAGTACTATAGGTTACACATGAGAGTTGGAGAGTCAGGTGGATGCAGTTGTGTTTAAAATAGGAAACAAGCAAGGCATGGTGGCTCACGCCTGTGATGCTAGCACTCTGGGAGGCCGAGGCAGGTGGAGTGCTTGAGCTTAGGAGTTTGAGACCAGCCTGAGCAAGAGTGAAACCTCTGTCTTTAAAAAATAATAATAATAATGATAAAAAGTAGGAAACATTACTAGTATGGAAGAAAAGGTGCCATATTCAGATCAAGGAAGAGGATTCAGATCAAGATTATCTCTTACTATATAATCATGTCTATCTAAATGTATAGATTGCTGTTCAAAGTCAGATCGCCAGCCTTAAGAGCACTTTTAAAGATAGAGCAAGCTGGCTCAGTGCCTGTGGCTCAAGTGGCTAAGGCGCCAGCCACATACAATTAAGGTGGTGGGTTTGAATCCAACCTGGGCCTGCCAAACAACAATGGTAGCTGCAACCAAAAAATAGCCGGGCATTGTGGTGGGCGCCTATGGTCCCAGCTACTTGGGAGGCAGAGGCAGGAAACTTGCTTGAGCCCAGGAGTTGGAGGTTGCTGTGAGCTGTGATGCCACGGCACTTCTACCCAGGGGGGCAGCTTGAGGCTCTGTCTCAAAAAAAAAAAAAAAAAAAAGATAGAGCAAGCTCATGAAACGTGTTTATTATTTCTTTAGCACAAATATGAAATAAGTAATTGGACAGATTTTTAGATGCAAAAGTATTAATCTACTTGAATTTTATTAAGGACACACTGTTCCCTGTGTAGGAGTAGGTATAGTATCTTCTTATGTAGATACATGTGTATATTGTAAGATAAAAATAATGTAAAGTTGCATTCCATTGAACCTTGTACAGCTTGTGGTAAGGAGCACGTGTTGGGCACGAGAACGCCAGTATGGTGGTCATAGAGCCTCACTAGCCAGGAGACCTGGACTTTGCTGCTTAACCTGAATTAACTGACAGCAATGTCCTGTCAACTAGACAGTCAAGATGTAGAGTGACAGTACTAAGTTTATAGGACTTTTGTGAGTATCAAATTAACATGTAAGTGAACTTTGTGGACTGCAAAGCACTTCCTGATAGTAATTGTTATAATGCAGTATTCTCTTACGAACACTGCAGTTTCCAGATTTGATCTAACTTGTCCTCATCCTTCCTCTGGGGAATTTTCCCAGGTGGTGATGCTGGGAGTAAAAGAATCTCATTAAATCTGAAATTTACCCTTGGCTCAGAGGGACCTGAGACTGGTACAGTTTTTTAAACTTTATTGCTGCAGTTTGTCTGGCCTGAATACCAATTCTTCATTGCTTGTACGTTCCCATTTTACAAGGACAATTCAGTGGGAAATATATTCTTGCTAGGCAGACATTGAGGTTGATTTTAAAAAAACATCATGCTTAGTTCAGGCTGCTATAAAAGAAATACCATCAGACGAAATCATGTCCCTTATTACAAGGGCACCAATTCTATTCCTGAGGCTCTGTTCTCCTGACCTCACCCCTCAAAGCCTCCAAATACCATCACATTGTGGAGTAGATGTCAACGTCTGAATATTAGAGGGACTCGGACTTTAAGTCCATACAGTGCTCCTCGTGGCTTGGCATTTAGGTTTGTTGGTTAGAGAGTATTCTGTCCCATTGTTTGTTTTGAGGTCAAAGATCTATGAGAGGGACAACTGTTTTCTTCATTCTCGTACTTAGAGTTGGTAGTTTGAATGCCAGTTTCTCCTGATTGCTCATTATGTACCCAATGGTGTACAAAGCATTTAGATTTTCATTGTACTTCACTATATATAGTATTTCCTTGTATATAGGGGTGTTGGCTTGTGTGATAAGTTTCAAACATTTTTTATTTTGGTAAAGCAAGACCTTTCATCCCAACCTAGTGAAACAATTGAAAACAACTCAGGGAAAATGTTTTTAAATTTTTGTTTTTACGGAATTATGTGCAACATAAATATTCCTGACTTCTACAGCCTTTGGGAGCCTCTCCTCAGCCCTTGGGAGCTTCCCTGACCCTCTGATTTTTAAATAAATATTGTTGAATCATTCTTTTTAATATTTGTAATGTACCGAACATTTTCTAATAACAAAAAGAGCTTTCTGATTAATGTGAAATGTGAAACCATGCCTCAGTGACCCACATAGTATTCCAGTTCCTTTCACCTGCTGTCATTGCTCCTGTACTGTAGAATCACACAGCAGTTGTTCAAGGTTGTTCTTTGTGTATATTAGAATTTGTTTTTCAGGGCAGTGCCTGTGGCTCAGTGGGTAGGGCGCTGGCCCCATGTTCTGAGGGTGGTGGTTCAAACCCAGCTCCAGCCAAACTGCAACAAAAAAATAGCCGGGCGTTGTGGTGGGCACCTGTAGTCCCAGCTACTCGGGAGGCTGAGCAAGAGGATTGCCTAAGCACAGAAGTTGCAGGTTGCTGTGAGCAGTGTGACGCCACAGCACTCTACCAAGAGCAATAAAGTGAGACTCTGTCTCTACAAAAAACAGAAAAAAAAAAAGAATTTGTTTTGGGTGGCACCTGTGGCTCAAAGGAGTGGGGTGCTGGCCCCATGTATCAGAGGTGGCAGGTTCAAATGCGGCCCCAGCCAATAACTGCAAAAAAAAAAAAGAAGAATTTGTTTTTCAAGTTACCTATGGAATCTTGGAGATACATCAAAGTATCATAAATTCTATTGTTATGCTGAAAAAAATCAGGTCCCAAATATTCACGCAAATTAATGCTTTTTAGGTTAGAAATGAAAGTAATGTGGATGAGAAACATCCTCAATGCCCCATTATCTACAAAGAGAACTGCCATTTGTGCAGTTGCAAGACTTTGGAACACTGAGGGTGAGATATTTGGGATATGGATTTAAGTTCTCTATTAACTACTAATCTTTCTCTTTTTCTTTAATCCTCAGCCACTCACAACTGACCTTCACTACTATTATATCCTGGAGCTGTCACTTTACTGGTCTTTAATGTTTTCCCAGTTCATTGATATCAAAAGAAAGGTAAGAGCAGTTATGTTATAAAGTGCTTGCAAACACGTGTCTTTAATAACCCTTGACAGGTGGGGGTAGAGCCTCAAAGTCACTCACTCTTTTTCCCCTGTTGAGGGTTGGGGTCCCAATTCCCTGAACCCAGTTGACCTGATCTGATTACCAGCCAAGCTAGAAAGTTCAACTGAGGCACAACAGTAATTGAAAGCAAAAGTGAATGGAACTGAAAACAAAACTAGAGCAGCACGGGCAGTGTGAATAGAAAGTAAAAGTAACCTGCACGAGTTTGGGGTAATAAAGGGAAATTTTATGTAGGAAGAATAAAGAGCAAGTTTAGAGCGCTTCCAGAGAGAGTTGGAAGTAGGTCCCTCTCCTGATGGAGAGGAGGTGAGAGAGAGGAGGCGCTGCACCGGCTGTGCAGGGGTAGAAACACCCTCTTTCTCTCTGTTTGAAATTGGTTGTAGGTCTTTCCTTGGCCTCTCTGTGCCTCCAGGCAGCATTGTCCTTTTCTATTGGTCATCGATGGTCTCTTTCTATTGGTCATTGGTTACCTAGGTTGCCTCATACCCACCTTCTTATAGGCCCTCCAGACTGCCTGGTGCAGCAGGTCAGGTTCCCTTTGCCCCTTTAAAGCCCTTTTCTTAGTGTCCCTCCTCAAGGTTAGCATGACTTGTTGCATTATTCTAAAAAGTTCTCCACTTTTGCTTGTGCTGTTTTGTTCCTATTGACTTCTTACTCTTCCTAAAAATCCAGTGTTCTTTTCTGCATGAGAATCCCAACAGCTGTAATTTCCTCTCAGCGTAATTCACCAAATCCCTCTGTTCTCCAAGTTTAAAAAAAAAAAAAATTATTTGTAGCTATTAGGAAGATGCACAATCTTAGGGGTTTAGCCATACAGAATAAATTCCCCAATTAAAGGGTTGTCTAGTATCGAAGCAAGTCATGGAAATGCAGCATTCCTAAACAAACGGTGATCTTCTTTCCACCCCTCTGTTCCCCTGGAATTGCTTTTGCTGAGGGAACCCATGACCTCCTAAGTGTTCAATCTGCTTATTCTGGTTTCCTTCCTACCAGCTTTGGGGCAGAATTGGCACTTTGGGCTCTTTACTGTTTGCTTTTTCCATAACACAGCCCCGTGTTTGGATTAATTCTTCAGAGTTGTTTTGCTGGCTTCCACGTTAATGTCCCTGCTCTGCACTTTGGGGGACACCAGGGTTCTGGACCAGAGTTACAGGATGCCATCTGCCCCATGATCAAGCTTCCACCCTCTAACCCTTCCAGCTACCACTAATATACCAATAACTCCCAAGTGTTTCTCTTCTGCCCCACAT